CACTGTAGACATCTGAAAGTTGGAATTTAGCCAGGATCAAGTGGTGTTGTCTTCCTAGAGAATACCATTTAGTAGTTCACAAAGAGGCCCTGTGTAGGTTTGCAAGTCCTAAGAACTCAGGGTCCTGACAGTTGGTTCTGTGCAAAGATTCTGGATCAACTGACAGCCTAGTAAGCCCAGCGTTACATACAAGGTTTAGAGCTAAGTGTCTGTTGAAAGTATCTTGTGAGAGTGGCAGGCCCAAAGACAAGGTGCAACGGGAGCACAACTTCCAGTGGGGGCCATCCTTGGCTTATTTCTCAGGATCTGCAGATAGCACCACAGGTATAAGGATCAGGACATCAGAGCCACTCTTTTATTTATTTATTTATTTATTTTTTTCAAATTCTTACTTGGAACTGTCTGGGTGTTTCCTCTTACAACTGGCTTTCAAATTTTCAGGGGATCTTAAACACTCTGGGAGGATCTCAGGAAAAATTAAACAGCCCTGATGGGCTTGGGACATTTCCAATAAAGTAAATGTAAGCCCTGAACCTTTCCAAACTCTTTAAGGGTCTTTGAACCTCGTATCGTCTAGTCAAGGTCTTCGAATGATGCTTGGTGGTTGATACCTCTGTCAGTCTATGGGAAACCACCAGAGCTTTCTAAAATTCTTCCAATCTCTCCAGCATCATTTCTCAGATGATAGTAATAACAGTAGCAATGATAACCAGGATGAAAATAATAGCTAACTATTGACTCCTAAGCAATTTCTATAATTTTTTTTTCTAATCCTTCTAAAAATTCTCTAAAGTAGCTGTTATTATTGCCCATTTTAGCATGTGAAAAAATTGAGATTCGAGGAGTTGTATTAACTAGATCAAGAAAGAAAACCCATGAGGAATTCCTATATTTGTACTCAGGTCTGTTTGGCTCTCAGGCCCTCACTCTTAAGCCCATGCTGCCTCAACCAAGGGCTTCATTACTATAGAAACTTCTATAATGATGTTTCAAGCCCTCTATTTCTTTCTTTTCAAAATCATTTAAACATTCTATTACATAAATTGGCAAAGCTTATGGAAAGTAGTCTTATGATTTTATAGTTACAATTCGCATGGGGCCTGTCACTTCAGAGTGTCCTAGAATGTTCCAGTGAAAGATCCCTTGGAGGAGACCAGATTCAGCTTGAGACCCAGAGATTAACCAACAGAGAAGATCCTGACACAACTTTCCCTCCATTCTCTACTGCCTTCTCAGTCTTCTTCTGGTTCATTCTATCTCATCTGCCCCAAATTTCATTATTTAAGCTTTTATAGGATTGTTTCCTCAGGGCAAGGACTTGTTATTTTGGACACAGTTTTATGGACTGTTCTACTTTTTAATACTATAGAAATCATAAGTCATAGTAATATTAAAAAAGGGGGATAACAAAAACAGGAGCAGACATTGTGAACTACTAGACTTTGAACAAACACGTAACATCACTAAGGAGGTCTACTTGGTTCTGTTTTCATCTAATTGAAAAATTGAAGAACAATTTCTGTTGTTTTCTTAAGATTACACACACAGTCATACATTGATAGGAACATGCTTTATTCACATTTTGGGATATCCGTTGTGTGGTGAATTTGTCTATGGAATTATAACCTCATGAAAAGAGATTACCATTTTTCTGCTGAGATGTCCTTAACTGCAAAGGGTGTGAATGGTGTTGCTATAGTAATTAAATCTAAAATCTTTCATAATCCTGTGCTTTCCATAGAGTAATGTTCAGCATTAGCCAAGGATGAACATGCAAACAACTACATGTATATTCAATAATAAAGCTTAATAGGTCAGGGAAGGAGTGGAATGAAATGAATACCTAATACCTCCAGAGATAACTAATGGTAGTTTGCCTTCCTAGTTACTTCCTTGACTTGTGTTTACCAGGACTTGAATATATGCATCAAATTGTCCTTTATTAACATCTAAATCCATACCAAGCTTGTTGCATGAGGGGTTGTTTAATGTCAACTGCTATGTAGATCGGCTATCTATTTCCAGAATTGTACATTGGAGAGCATTTACTTTCCATGTTAAAATTGTATAGAGTTGATGGGAGAGTGAAATAACTACTGAGTTCAGGCCTCCATGCTCTGGCTCTGAATGTACTAGTTCTACATGAAGGAGATAACCTGAAGACCACAATCTCATTTCCAGATCTGGCCTTGAGATGTCATGAGAGAGTTTCTGAGTCACCATGGCTTACCTTCAGATAGATCAGCAAATTAAAATGAGAAGAGCAAAGGCACATGGAAGACTTAGCTTGTGATTACCTGATAATAGTATTAATGGAGTCCATTATTTGTAACTGAAATGATGTCTTTACCAACTAACGATTCCCTGCCTTAAATTTCTGCTTCCATAAAACACTTTCATATGCATTAGCTCCTACTGTGCTCACCACCATCATCCAGTAAGAAAGCCAAAGTATTACTTCATTGAACAGATGAGGGACACAGATGAGGCTCACAGATGAGCTGGTGAATGACTTACCCAAGATATCAGAGTTTATGATTAGCCAGCAGTTGAATCCAGAGGTCTTGACTCCATCTTAATATGTTTTGTGGGTTTTTTGTTGTTGCTGTTAATTTTATTTAATATAAGATACTTTACAAATTATACTCTGTAGAAAAACATTATATACTCCCAAGTTCTGGCTGGAGATGATCTGGGTTCCATGTTTGCCTCCACGGTTTTTAGCTAAGTGGTTATGAGCAAGCTTCTTAACATCTCTAATCCTCAAAGTCACCATCTGGAAAGTGGGGATAATAACAGCACCTCCTTTGTAGGGTCATTGTGAGGACCAAAATCTTTGCTGCTGGGCCGGCCCGGTGGCGCACTCGGAAGAATGTGGTGCTTGGGAGCGCAGTGGTGCTCCCGCTGAGGGTTCGAATCCCATATAGAGACCAGTCCGCTCACTGGTTGAGCGTGGTGCGGGCACGACACCGAGGGTTGCGGTCCCGTTACCGGTCACAAAATAAGACAAAAAGGTAAAAAAAAAAAAAAAAAAAAATCTTTGCTGCTGGTCAGATACTTATCATTTTCTCTGACACGGAAAATAGACCCTTGAAATGTGGGAATGATTTATCATTTATTTTGCTGAACATTTAAATGTAAATTAACACAAAGACATCCCTACATATATTGCAATACATACATATATATGAAAAATGAAGCTTTTTATACTGACAAGCATAGGTAGTTTTTAAATGTTTGAGTTCTATGGGTTATGAGAATGATACAGTCTTCATTTCCCATGATGTGTTGTAAATAATTATTTGTTCAGAGTCATAAGCCTGCAACTGCAAAAGAAATACCAAGGTACATTTTTTTTCTCCTTCTCAAAGATCTTCAAAACATCCATTATTCTCTTGAAGGAAGGACAGTCATAAATCCTGCAAATTTAGTTTATCTGAAACCAACTCTAACAGTTGTCCTTCCCACCAGTCATCCTTTATATTAGTCTTTGGTTTTCAGACCTCAGTGAACAGACCCTGTTCTTATGCGGTTGAGCATAAAAGTAGAGGAGCTGTGCTTTCTTTGGAGACTTATGGGATACCCACTCTGATCTGAATCTCTTTTTAACATTTGAACATAACTTCTAAAATAATGTTTCCCCCTATTTATCAAATTAGAAGTTGCCTTTTCCCTTCTGGCTTCCCTTCTGGAAGAAGCACACAGGTGGAAATCCAGAAATGGGAATTTTAGGACTGTCTCTAGCACTAACCAGCTGTGTGACTTTGAGCAAAGCAGTTCACCTCTCTGAACCTTTCCTTCCTCATCAGCAAAATGAGGCTAGAAGACTCTACTGTTTCTGGGAAGGTGGGGGAGAGACTCAGTAGAAAGCAGTGCTGTGATCCAGTCAGAGCTGGAGGTTCTTTCTAGAAAGCTTTTGTGGAGGATGTGGGGTCTGACTGAGCTATGCAACAGAAATAGTATTTACAGAGTTGAGGAATGGAATTCTAGTTTGGGAGCTGAGCCTGATGCTGAGCCTGATGCTGAGCCTAGAAGAATAAAAGAGCAGAGCATGCTTGGGAAATGGTCATTGGTCCAGAGAGGCTGACACTGCCCCCACTTGAAACCTGGCAGTGAGGTCTAAAGTTGTATTTAACAAATAAAAATACAAACGCCAACCAGTCTTTGAAGGCTGTATAAGTGAAATTTGAAGATAATAATCTACTCTTCCTTCTGCAGCTCAAACTTGGAGATAGAGAGGATGACACTGGAATTAATACTCCTGTAGAAACAGAAGGCTCTGTGTGCTCCATAAATAATTTTGAAAGTGCTAGTTTATCACCAAAATCCAGACCACTCATATTTTTCAGGTACCTGGCCTTAGGAGAGAAATATTTCTTATACATATCATGGGCTCATATCTCTTGGATCAAATTTTACAGGAAAAGATGGGTCACATATCAATAGGTTAATGACTAGCCATTTCTTGCCCAGCTCTTTTGTGGCCACCGAGCTACCCAGCAGCAGAGGGCATGGAAAGGCAATGGAAGTTCATTGGACCTTTCAACCCTGTCATCCAGAGAGCCCCAGCAGGCTTCTACAACAGCATCTAGAGGTAGGGGCTGTTATCATGCCCCTGTTCTTTCATGAGAGACTCAGAGCTCCTTGTCCTGTAGAGATCCAATACCATGACCCACCTCCACAGTGACTGATCTGTACATTTATTGCACTTTTAGCAGTAAAAATGTATAAACTCTAGTCATCACTGGAGATGCTGAAATAGACTTTTTCTCCATTGATTTAGGGGAAGGTAGAGAGGGAAGATGTGTGGAGGGTGTGAAATAAAAATAAGAGCTCAAATATCTAATTAGCTGAAAGAATCTTGGTTCCTTCTGTACCTTTGACAGAATTGCACCTGTCAGATTGTAGCTCCGTTATTTTATCCTTGTTGCAAGATGTACCTGAGGATGATTTTAAAAAGACATTTTCTAACTCAAAGGCCACTCCGGTTCCTTTGTAGGATGCTTGAGGATGACCTGAAGCTGAGCAGTGATGAAGATGACCTTGAGCCTGTGAAGACCTTGACCACTCACTGCACTGCCACTGAGCTCTACCAGGTAAGAGGAGCTTAGGGCTTGGTTGTGGGCATAAAGGGATGGAGCAAAAGGAACTGGAATGGCTTTGATATTCACGTGCTTCCCCCCTGCTTTGTCTCTGGGTTTTGGAGAGAGGAAAAGAAGCAAAGATGTGCATAGTGTTCTGGAACAAGTCGAATCAGCTCATGCTTTCATTAAAGCTACAGTAAGGAAATGCCAGTCTCCTTAAAACTGCTTTCACCTCCTGCTACCTCTGTCTCCTTTCCACACACAAACACTGGCCATCTATAAGTAACAGAGATTGTCTTCCCTTCCTTTGGACTACTTGCTATCTTGGGTGAGGGGTAACTCTCCTTCGGTGACTCCAATGTGAGGCTTAGAGCCCACACTCATTAATTTAGGTGTAAATATGACTGCTCCCTTCACCTTTCCCAAATGCATCACTTCAGAATGCAGCTGAGAATCAGCACCCAACATCTTGTGGCTTACATGCAAATGGCAGTTGGCAAAACTTGCTGCTGCCCCTGTCTTCTCCCATTCTGCATTGTAAGTATTTACAGTAGATTACTCTCAAATGGGATGGCAGATATGTGTGTTTTCAGCATTTCCGATGAGACTGGAATTTTGATTTGAAAAGGCCATGTATCATCGATGACTCATGAGAACAGCAGTGTGGTGTGTGAGCATTTTCTGTGAGAGAGAACTGTCTCGAATATGGGGTTTTTCAGGGCCTGCTTATAACCTCAAATTAGGAATACATAAGAACTGCCTTTTTATTAAAGCCAATACCTGACCAAGAACTTCCTACAGTGAATATACTAAGTTATATAACTGAAACAGACCATTTTGAGGATTGCTCAGGCACTGATATTTCAAGATAGTTAATAAATATGGAATTTTATATTCAGTGAATATTTTGTGAGGAAGAGCCTACAAAGAAACCCTTTGGAAAAACTCTGAAGGCTCACCTATTCCCTTCTCCTCTACAGTTGTTCACCACACTAGCACCCTTACCATTCATGATGTGGTTGACCCTTGAAGAACGACAGGCTTTAGGGCACTTGGAAAGTCTGTGTGTAAATTTTTGAATCCCCCAAAACTTAACTACTTAACTACTACATAAGTAACTGTTAAGTACTTAACTTTGTAAGTACTAATAGCCTACTGTTGGTAGTCTGCTTAACTATTTGGTTAGGTATGCCATAGATTCATGACAAAACTTTTCTAGTACATTTACTGAAAAAGATCAGCATACAGGTGGACCCATTCAGTTCAAACCTGTGTTGTTGAAGAGTCAACTAACTGTACTTTTAAAATTGAACCCAACTTCATTATTAGGTGGCCAATTTTTTCCTCTCCTTTACTTTTCCATTTTATTGTATATGCATTTTTAATGCTTTGTAAAAAGTTACATCTTTGCAAGTTGGGTGCTTTATCAAGAACAAGCCCGGGGGAGTACAGACTACACTGTGCTGGCTTAAGCCAATGTCACAATTGTTTTCCAGGTGCTTTCTATACATTTACTGAATGCAAGCCCCTCCTACTTGAGGCATAGGCTTCATAGCAAATGTAAAACGCACACATAATTTCCAATGTCTGCCGTTTCTGCTTTCTGCATTTTGCCAAGGACAAGAGCATCATATTTGTAAATAAAACGAAAACAAAACAAGAAATTCTAGCTCATTGATTCTGACAGATCCCATGCTACTTTTTAATAAAAATGTTTGAAGAGTTCAACAATAAGTGAAATTAGATTTTGCACATTGTTTTTTCTGTTTTTTTTTTTTTTTTTTTTTTTTTTTTTTTTACTGAAACAATTGATTGTACATATCTGTGGGATACAGCATTGAATATCAAAACCTGTATGAAATGTATGAAGATTTCCCACATTGACTTCCTCTTTGTGTGACTACATAAATGCTGTCTGCTTTTTAGCTTATCAAATTGTTATTTTCTGTATTTTTTTTATAAAATTGCATCGGATCTGTTGGCCCACATTATCTGGAATTTTAGGATCTATATGCCGACTTGGTGTAAGTGCTGAGACCCTCTGATGATGAGGATTGGTGACTTGCACCTTTCCATGATATGATGTCATTATATCAGTCATGCATTCGTCAACAAAGCATAGGTTCTCACTTACAATTTGATGAGGAGATTGAACTGGGGATCTAAGGCAAAGCAAAAAGCCAACATAATCCTCATAGTTGAGTCAAGGAAGGAAGAAATGGGCACAAGCTTACAAACATTTGCAAATCAACCCTACTTATAGAGTTTGAGGATTGGTTAAGAGGAATTTAAGGCTAGAGACCAGGTGAGAATGCTTGTGCAGTAGTGGCAGCAATAATGATAGCAGTGTTTGGTGAGCTCTAGCTTTATGAGGCCTAAAATTCATGTTCAAATATAACTTTCTGTAATGTTTTCTAGGTTCCTCCTTGTTACAGCATATATCAGTACTTCATTCTGTTTTATGGCTGAATAATATTCCGTTGTATGGCTAGATCACATTTTTTGAGTGATTATCCATTCATCAATTGATGAACATTTGGTTGTTTCCACCTTTTGCCTATTGCAAATAGTGATGTTGTGAAATTTGTGTACAAGTTTTTGCAGGGAGATATGTTTTCAATTTTGGGTGGTTAGATATCTAGAAGTACAATTGCTTGGTCATATGGTAATTCTATGTTTAACTTATTGAGGAATCGCCAAAATCATTTTCTTTTAGAGAACAGAGTGCCATGTAGATAATACAGTACTATTCCCTCATCTTGTAATTGGGACAATCATATCTCTAGCAACATCAGGAGGAGGAGTACAGAGACTTCCATTTTTGGAGCCACCCTTGCTCTGTGCCAGGCACAAGTTAGGTGCTCTGACTTATTCAAACCTCACAGCAAAACTTCAAGCTAGGTTTGGGTCTCCTGTCTGAGCAACGGAATTTCAGAATCATTCTACTTGTGGCAGAATGATTAGGGGGAAAGCGTGCAAACAAACGCATTGGTTCATTAAATGATGTGCTCAAGGAGCCAGACCACACCATTGGTTTGAGCCAACGTTATAGTTTGAAACATTCTCAGAATGCAATGGCTGCATTCATGCAAACATATTCCAGTAAAACAACCATTTGCTTTCTGGAGGCATCCCCAAATCCTCTAATCCATAATCATGGCCCTCAGACTCATGTGTGGAAACTTGAATTATCTAGGTTTAATGAATATACACCAACCTTTTCCAAAAAGGTCTCAATACCTTCTGCTATGGTTTGGAGCATAAAGAATCTCGAGAGAATGCACATGTGGAAATGAAACAGAAGATGAAGACATGTCAGTTTCCAATTTGGCATTTTGGGACCGAGTACCTTATAATGAGAACAAGCTCTCATTTTCCTGCCCATCACTGCCATCTTCCACCTTCCAGCATTAGCCATGCCAAGCAGCTGACAGGGCCTGTGCACTAACACCAGCAGAGCAACTGGAAAGTGTTTTAATTCTAAGTGTGATTTCCTCAAATGAGAGAATGGAGAGTGAAGCCGAGATGGGAGAATTATAATATACACACTAAGGATGCCACACGGTCAGCCATGGAGACTTGGGGTCACGAGATTTTACCTTCTAATGGCTCTTTAATGTCAGAGATACACAATCATATATACACATGATTACAATAAGGAAGCAATAGTGATGGTACCCTAATAATATTTGGGAAGACATTGTGTGCTTTCTCCACATCCCCCACTGCATTTTGCTATCTTGGTTGGGACTGTTGGGGAGCAGACATGCCCATGTTGTGTTCTAAGGTGGTGTGGAAATGCTGGGATGGTGTAGGAGAGCGAGTGAGAGTATAGCTCGGTAGTCGGACAGACATGGGTTTGAATCTTAACTCTGCCACTTTCAAACTGGGTGACATGGGGAAAAATACCTAAGTGTCTATAAAATAGAGGGAACAATAACACCTACCTCATTGGGTCATAGTTGGAATTCAGTGATTAGGTGAATCTGTACAGACAAAAGCACTTGACACTATGCTTAGCACATGACAAGGACTAACCACTTTACATGATAATCCTCATCATTGTTACTACTAATAACAACTATCTAAAAAGTCTTATATTCTTTGAGATGCTACATGTATTACTTCCCCTTTTCTTGAAAGGAATGAGATGTTCAAGAGAGCTGCTGAATTATCTAGCTGGAAAACAGCCTGTATGTGGCAAACTTGAATGAAAAGGTTCTGTCTTATTCTAACATGTGTTAGCTGTGTGTATGCCTGGTCATGAGGGGTTGTAAGTGTAGTCATTAAAAGCATGGTTTTTGGATTAGAAAAGCCTGGGCTTCGATCCCAGCTCTCACATGCTAACTGCATCACATTGGGCAAGTCACATAGCATCTCTAAGTCTCAGATCTCTCTTCACTAAACTAGGATAAACTAGACTTGTCTAACTCATTAGAGAACAGTGAAGATCAAATGAAGATAGGATGCAAGAAAATGCTTTGAAACCCATGACTACTACATAGATAGGTGGTTATTCTTTCTTGTGGCCTTTTTCAATGTTAGCTGGAAACCCCCTCTTTGGGATCCATAGGGACAGACATTGCCTTTCATTTTGGCCATGGTGTCCATAGGGATCAACTAGGAGTTGGATTGATTGTCCTAACTAGCCCACAAAGACATCCATCAGATATGAATGACCTTAACTCCCCTCTGAGCCTTGACAAATTTTAAACCAGAGGTCCCAGGAAAGAAGGTCAGATTGCCAAACACACTGCACCAAATTCTCCAGGAAATTACGTGTCTCAAAGTTTTTCTCAAAGTATTGACAAAGGTGAAGATTTGAGTCATACCCTTTCATTGCGATTCTTACCTTCTCTTTCTGAGAGCCTGCCCTGCCCTGGAGAAAGGATTAAAGCCTCTGCTGTGCTGCTGTACTCACCTTGGTCATCTCTCAGAAGCTATCCCTAAATGGCAAATAAATAATCACTTGAAGTTGACATTGTACACTCCAAAATTCCAGAATAGTGATG